GTCCGCGTTTTGTGTTTTCCTTAATCAAACAAAAAGAGGTTACATTAGTTTTAGGCTCCAGTGAATTTAACATAATCTATTTGGTGGAGACAAAGGAAAGAGATTGGACATATATATTATGTTAATGAAATATAACTTTATATACTTAGTAAGTCAGTCCATTCATCATCTTTTTATCTATTTTCCATTGTTCTTAACCTTTAACATTTAACAGTCCATACTTAGTAATAAGAGTTAACTGTATTTGGTGAACCAGTTGGTCCGAATGTGATCAGATCTCTAGTTCATCGCCTGGAAACAAAAAACCGAGAGAAAACCATTTCAATTTCAGAAACAAAGCCGATCATCAGACATAGTGAGTTCCTTCAATTCTACTTTCAAACCCAAAAAACAAACCTTTACCTAGGTTGATAAGACTCAAAATATGCCATAATTGATTAGTATCAATACCAAAATGCTCGTAAATATTTAGACCCAAACAAGGCTCTCTTATGCTTTCTTCTTCCTTAGTAACCTTGCGGATGATCTCTTTGTGCTTCCCTTATCACCTGATTCTCCAACATCATTATCTTCTTCCCTTTGTCTCTTTCCCGCGGTTGTAACATTTGCTTTCTCATCTCCTCTAAACACGTAGACCTGCACTAGCACACATTCAATATATCAATCAAGTTGTGAGTGAGAATGTCAAGTCAAACCACATGCCTCTTGTTCAAAAAGCATACCTTGAATCTATTTGGTTCAACCAAATGGAAGATTAGAGCATCACCATCGTCTAATTTATGATCGAGCGCAAAACCTCTCCAACCACCGCTAATCCCACTTCTTTTCCCAATGTAGACTGCTTCATACTCTTTGCCATTTTCATCCTCTAGCACTATATCCATAGTTTTCTCAGGGAGATGTGCCACACAGAATGTTGAAGGAAGACCCTTGAAATTATTGCAAACCATAGTGTAGGTAACAACGAAATCATACAAGAAACAAACACACACAAGTAGTGAGTGAGACGTACCAGCCAAAAGCAACTGTAAACGTGAGAGCGAACCATAGATTTCACAAAGGAAGGATTTTGAGATTCGAGGCGGCTTTGGAATTCCTCTGCAGCCTTAAGTGCTCCAACTCTTTCTTCGTAAGAGGCACATTTGCACTCATGTAGAGGTCGAGCAATGTAGCTAACAGAATTTAACAAGCTTAAAGGACAGGTTTTTAGAGCAAAGTTGAGCAGTAGAAGAAATATTTTACCTAGCCCATGACGAGTTATGCCGCGATTTCCTTGTACGACCAATGTCAACATCCAGCTGTAAGAAAGAGAGAGAATTAGGTGATTGGTGTCCAAAAATCGAAAGAGGAATCTTTGTACAAGTACATCATCGCGATAGGAAGGAATGTTGGTGCGAGCACGGGAAGAGCGTCTTGGTTCAGTAACAGAGATGGTTTTAAAGCTGGGTCTGGTAATACGCTGCTTAGGCGTTTTTGTGGAGATCTGTGTCAGTGCCTTTGAAATCTGGGCGATTCCTAAATCCTGATTGATACATTCAATAGTCAATAAAGCATAACGAATCAGAGAAGGAGAAGAGGAAGAAAAGTGAAAATAACGAGAGGAAGAGAAACCTGAAATCTCTTGTGATTCTCCTCAAGACGGAGCTTGCGAGCCTCTTCATATGCCATGGCGAATTGCAGATTGTTCCAGAAGGAGAGAAATGGCGCTTCGTTTGAAATTCGAAAATCAAGGAATTAAGAGATTTGGGCTTGTTTTATAAAAATCTCAGATTACTACCCCAAATTTTGATTTTCAAGGGGCATAATTTTGCAATAATTAAAAGGGAATATTATAAAAAGAGAAGTGAAACGTCGCCGTTTTAAAAGTAACCTAATTGTAAAAATAAGCTAATTGAAGTCGTTGTCAAAAAAAATATAAAAAAAATAATTGAAGTCAAATTTTGACCCAAAAAAAAAGCTAATTGAAGTCAAAGTCCTTTTAACTCAAAAGTTAGTATTTCTTTTGTGTCAAGAAGCTCTTTGGTCTTAATATATGGAGGGATTATCAAACAGTCATGATACATGGTTCTTCTCTTATTGTTGAGGCTGTTGATATAGAGTTCATATGAAGTAGAAGTAAAGCAAAGAATCTGTTCAGTGGGAGAAGGGCGAAGAAGACGACGAAGAGCAAATGAGCAAGCTATAAAGAACACATTATCTTCTTTTGTAGTCTCTTGATAAAGCCAACAAATGCTTTTGTATAGCAAAGAATATGTTC